TCCGAAAGCTGTTAAAATTTTTCCAGTGACAACTGATTAAAGTTCCGTTCTAGAACCTAAAATAATCTACTAATTTTACATGTTTTGCAACTTTTTACTCGAAAACTGCTGCTCAACCCACAAAACTGGTAAAACATTGACTCAAATTTAAGAGAGCACAAAACAAAATGGCGTTCTCTTTGTAAACTTTTTACTCGAGAAATTTGGTCGAGTAAAAATGATAAACAGGAATACCTACTTCTGATTGGCTGTTATGTTGATTTTGAAGTACTGCCATCTAATTCTGGCATATTTACTAGATTTGTGTTTCCGAACTTTTCAAATTATTTTGTACTCGATGAGAAAACATTCGTTGTCCAGCAGTTTGTAAACAAACAAAATGATCGTATTTACTTGCCAAAGAGGTCAACTGAAAATGTGAACCTTCGGTTGGCCACCAAATCTCAAGCGCCGGCCATGGTAATGGTGTGGGCCGCCATAACAGCCCATGGTAGCTCTTCGCTCGTATTATTCGAATATCATCAGAATAAATGCTGAACATTATCGCGAAAATATTCTGGAGGTTGTATTAAAACCTTGGGCATGCAAACATTTCAACAGGAATGTGGACGCGCCACCCAAGAATGGTTACAAAATGACGTTCCTCGCTTCATTTCCAGCGCACAATGGCCACCAACATTCCCTGATACAAATCCGTTGGACTATTGTGTCTGGAGTATTATGGAAAGCAAGTTTGACACTAAAAAAATACCAAAGTGTCGATCACCTCTACCAAGCGCTTCGCCGGGAATTGGCCAAAATACCGCAAAACAACATTCGGGCAGCGTGTGATGGTTTCATTGGTTTTTATGGCCTTCAACATAATTCGCACCAATGTTGACCAATTCGAACAAGTCTAAACTTATTCTAAAATGTTACGCTATTTCCGACATTTTTGCAATAAAATTTGAAAAAATGTGTAATAATTATGGCGCTTGACTTTGTTGCAGTTTTTTTATCTCACCCCATAGGACTTCTGTAGATATAAGATCTCCTATAAAACGAAGAATTTTAAGAGACAGAATATCTTCTGTAGACTGTCTATTATCGAAAAATCGTCAAAGGTCTGTTATATACCAATAATTGTCCTTCTACTGGAATTTTATATACAGAAGAATTTCTATATGTCCTCTATAGGCAGTATATCATGGTGCAGGTCTTCTACAAACAGAGAACATTGGATAGATCTTTCATGGACTTAAGATCTTCTAGAATTTTTATATTCTTCTTCAGGATTTTTACAATTAGTTTTATAGACATTAGAATATATTTTTCGTAAAAATCTGCGTCTGTTTTTTTTAATCCACACTTGTTTGATTCCTTGAAAAAATATTCTTTAAAAAAAACACGCCTTATGTGAGTCCTTGAAAAAATATTCTTTAAAAAAACCACACGTGGGAATGGTCATTGAAAAAATATTCTTTAAAAAATCCACACGTGTTTGATTCCTCGAAAAAATATTCTTTAAAAAACCCACGTCTAGAAAAGGTCCTTGAAAAAATATTCTTTAAAAAATCCACACGTGTTTGATTCCTCGAAAAAATATTCTTTAAAAAATCCACGTCTTGAAAAGGTCCTTGAAAAAATCCAAACGTGTTTGATTCCTCGAAAAAATATTCTTTAAAAAATCCACGTCTAGAAAAGGTCCTTGAAAAAATCCAAACGTGTTTGATTCCTCGAAAAAATATTCTTTAAAAAATCCACGTCTAGAAAAGGTCCTTGAAAAAATACTGTTTGTCCTCGAAAAAATATTCTTTAAAACATCCACGTCTAGAAAAGGTCCTTGAAAAAATCCAAAAGTGTTTGATTCCTCGAAAAAATATTCTTTAAAAAATCCACGTCTAGAAAAGGTCCTTGAACAAATATTCTTTAAAAAATCCACGTCTAGAAAAGGTCCTTGAACAAATATTCTTTAAAAAATCCACGCCTAGAAAAGATCCTTGAAAAAATATTCTTTAAAAAATCCACGCCTAGAAAAGATCCTTGAAAAAATATTCTTAAAAAAAGCCACGCCTAGAAAAGGTCCTTGAAAAGATATTCTTTAAAAAATCCACGCCTAGAAAAGGTCCTTGAAAAAATATTCTTTAAAAAATCCACGCCTAGAAAAGGTCCTTGAAAAAATATTCTTAAAAAATATTCTTTAAAAATCCACGCTTGAAACAAAAATTCTCTTTGAAAGTTCCCCCATTTAATGATCCGTGATTTTATATTTTAAAAAATCGAGTTTTATCGGATATGCATAGAATTACTTTCTGAGTCGATTTAAACATGTCCGTCCGTCCATGTATTTTTATGACCAAAGTACAGGTCGAATTTATGATCCGATTTGGATGAAATTTGGCACAGCTCACTTATTTGGCTCAAGGACGAACCCTATTAAAATCGGTTCAGATTTAGAATAGCTCCAATATATAGTTTCGTCCGATTTTAGGTAAATGGTGCACCAAACTCCCAATATTGGTCCGAGTGAGACAAAATTTTGCACAGAGTACTGAATTAAGTCCAGAATGATGTGTGCTAAGTGTGTTAAGTTTCTACAATATCGGTTCAGATTTAGATATAAATCCCATATATAGTTTCGTCCGATTTTATGTAAATGGAACTCCAAAGGGTCAAATTTCTGCCGATTGGAACAAAATTTTGCACAGCGTACTGAATTAGGTCCGAAGTTATGTCTGCGAAGTTTTGTTGGAATCGGTTTAGATTTAGATATAGCTCCCATATATTGTTGCTCAAAAACATCCATTTATATATATGTCTTATACATATTTTTTTCTCGATAATTGACATTAAATTTTTTCATTAATTTCAGAGTTTCAATTTAGCTGTTTCAATTTAGTTCAAATATGTATGTACTTCACGCAGTTATTTTCGTACGATCCCATTTCAATGGTACTCTAAAGATGCTATGTCTATTCCAGGTAAAGGATATTGTACATATGAACATCTGTTGTATATACCCAAAAGTGGTGAAGGGTATACTAAAGTCAGTCCCGTCCGACTTTTGTACTTTCCTACTGGTTAAAAATACATTCTTGTGATAATATGTTTTCTTAAAGATGCAAGTGTTATAGTTTTTAATGGTACTTTTAAAATGATTTTGTTATCGTCTTTTAATAAATATTTTTTTAATAAATTTCGGCTTACAAATATTTTAAATAAGCTTGTGATAGTCCATACAAATATGCAAAATAGATACGCTTGTGAAAAAATTAAAATATCAGCCATTATGAAAACAACTTTTCACAAAAACGGATATTAGGATATTCCTTGAAAAATATTTTTAGGAAAGTTTTTGGTTTCTAGAGAGTTCTCCGTATATATAAGACCTTTGTATTGAAAACCAGTGAGCGGAGCAGTATAGTCGGACGGGGCCGACCATATGATACCCTACACAACTTCCACGAAAATCTAATTTTCTATGGTTCGATAGTCTGAGATTGGGCAATATTTAGCGATATTTGTACCCCCTTGACCGACTAGACGTCTACAAATATTACTAATATTCAGTACAGCTCTTCTAATTACTTTTACTTGTCCAGATCCCCTTCATCGTGGGTTGTGTTGCGATGTCCGGCTTTCAAAGCGATCTGCGATATATTTCCGCCCTCTAGTGTGGTAATGCGTTACTAAATAATATATGAATACGAAAGGACCTGTAAATATTTAAGTGTAACTCCCACATCCGAGTACACACGATAATGCAATTGGTATCAATGTAAAGGTAAACCACTCCTCTTGGATATACTATCAACTTCTCGGGTCTATGTGCTTTAGAAATAAATATATACGCCATAGAATAAGAATTTTGTCATTTTCCACACAAAAGTCTGGGTCCATTTGACCCGCTAAATATTGACCAATCTTTATCAAAATAGGCATGCTTATTCTTTGGCCCGATCCCCTTCTCCATGTAAACATTCGCGAAGTTCGGGCCATAATTGCGGCCTCTGGAGCGACCAGAAAACCTGACAAAAATAAAGTTTTTGGTCCATTTCATCCCCTTAATATTAACCGATCTTTTCCAAAAACAATAGGGGCCTTCATTAGCCAGATTGGTTCATAACTGTGGCCTGTATCGTGTTTACAAATTATAATGGACAGGCGGACGGACACACATGTCTAGATCGACTCTGCTAGTCGAGATATGACGATCGGTATACTTAAAGGTGGGTCTAGGACCAATATTTCGCGGCGTTACAAACTTTTGGGGCTGCACAAAGCTATAATACCCTGACAACATAGTTGTGTAGGGTATAATAACCTTCTGTATTGAAAAACTCTGGAAAACCTCTTCTATATATTGAAAATCTCTTAAAGCTTCCCGTTTCTTCAGCTCCATTCTAGAAATCCTCTATTGAATGAAGAATTTAAATAGGTCAAATATATTTGGAATTGCCCATTACGTTATGAAATTATGAGTATTAGATATAATTATTACTACTCACATCTTGACTAAGAATGAATACAAACACAATTCCTTTCATACACTCGTACACGCATACTAACACACACACCCACATTCGCACCACACACAATCATCCAACTAGACACAGATGAATAATTATGGATGGAGCACGGATTTCATTTATTCCCCATGGTAACCATACAAACATTCATTCCTTTCATTCACCCACTCACATACACACTCACACACACGCACAAAATTATGAAATACACATATATACGTACAATTATTATACATATTTATGAACATGAAAATAACAAAAACAAAAAGAGAAACGGTTAGTAGTAACTTATGTGCAATTACAAAACAGAAAAAGGAGGGAGAGAAAAATTCGGGTTGAGTTTCACAATAATACATACAGATAATAATAATACAAAAACCTATACATAATCCTACATACATATTGATAATTTAATATTTTTTGGTATGATGTTTTTATTTCATTACTACTAGTAGCATTATTATTATTATTTTGATTGTTATGTAGTTTCGCTTACCTGGCGGGTAAAATTAATGCATCAAATTCCGTTGATAAATGTCGTCGTATGATATTCTTTGAGGGCGGAATACCCAATGCTGTGGCCATTGTATCGCCCGAAAACGATGGTTCCAATACAACTAAGCCCCCATGTACGCCGCTATCTGTAAAAGCGGATAATAACAATCAGTATAGTAATAATAATGGAAATAAATAATAACAATTCAGTTTTGGGTGTGATGATGCCTGTTGTTGTCGATGTTGCTGTGGTTATTGCCTGTAAAACTGGACATTTTACATGTGTGTGTGTGTATGTGTTCACGAATAATACATAATTAGACATAATTACGATGACAGCAATTATGTCAGATTATATGATTGAGGTATTGCATTACAATTATCATTATACGTCATGATATTGGATAGGTTCGACAGTTTGTGGAGAACAAAAAAGGGGGCTGAAGGGTGTTATTGACGTGATGTCACTAGTCAGCATATATACGTTAATGATGTATAATTGAATGTTGGATTCATATTGTTGGCAATTGGCACTTTAAACGGGAGACAGAAAATTTAATTTGGGAAAATTATTCCTCATGGTATAATAATAAATATTGCAGGGAACCTTTGACATTTGGGAGAGAAAATCTACTGTGTGAACCAATGAAATAATCTCCAAAATTGGGATAACCCAAATTGTCTGTAATTTTTGGTCCTTAAAATATGTATAATACGCGAAGCACATAAGCGGGGATATATGAAACTATTTTTTTTTGTTCAAAGTCAATACTCTTAAGTTTTAAAATCCCATGTGATAGATATAGTCTCGACTGAAACATGGAGTGTGTTGTTCATTTCGTTTGTAACAATTCAAATTATTTGTCGTAGACGAAAAGTATTCTTTCCTTTCAACTCCTTGGAATGGAATTATTCTTTAAAAAATCCTTAACTTGAAATTATCCTTTTTTAAATCCTCCCCTTGGAATGGTCCTTGAAAAAATTCTTTATTTTGACATTTCGGGTTCTCCGAAACGACGTTATCGCAGAAAATTTCGAGTTCTTATTTAGATGTAGCCCTCATATACGAATATATCCCCATTTAATGCACTATTTTAAGGCATTTAAGTTTCTTGGAGGGTCAAATAACTCCTGGCGGAACATTCTCTGGTTCTCTCGAAAAAAAAACTTCTTTGCTAGGTGTATTGAAGGCCATAGGAATAATAGGAAATGACATAGCAAATATACTCGCCAGAAGTGCTACAAACCAACCTGACGGAATGTAAATAATGTCAAACCTTTTAGTGCAACGTATGTAAAACTGAGAAGCCCACGGGACGGAAACCCAAGGGGATTGGGGAAAACACAAACATTCAAATGAGGATATGACACATCGGATCTTAATGCTAAACAAAAAAAGAAATCAGCAGACTGACAGGACATAAAAGCTTTCAGGCCCACTTACACAAGATTGGGTGCGAGGGAAGCGTCTGTTGTAGAGCTTTCGGACCCAATTGACATCTTTCGTGAAATAACATACCTAAGGGGGTGTGAGTGAGAGTCAAATCCTAACATGACTTTTTCCAACATCCTTTCTTTTCTAGACCGCACAGTAAGTTCCATAACAGGTTTAAGTGTATGTCCTAATATTGGACATGTGATGGTACAACAAACCCTCATTTCAACCTAACCTAAGGCCCTAGAGGCAGCATGCGAAGTTCTCGAAGGCTAAAATACTGTCCTAATATTGGACATGTGATGGTAAACCAACCCTCTTTTCAAGCTAACCTAAGGCCCTAGAGGCAGCATGCGATGTTTTGGAACGCTAAAATACTGTCCAGCCCCTGATTTTACATTGGCCCCCAAATACACCCTTATTTTTTGATTTTCAGGGGCTAAAAAATCGCATCGCGGAAAATATGGTATTTTTACATAGTTTTCGAATAAAGGTTTCGGTTCATTTTAGGTGTTGTAAGGGTCCTAGTCTTGTGTGCTTACATCTGTGGCTGTAATTTGTAAAGTTCATATAGGTCCATGTTTTCACAGAGCCCTCATATATAAAAACCGTTTTTTTAGTTTTATTAAAGGCCTTACTCCGATTTTCTTTCCGACGCATGACGTGACAAAATACCAAATACCTTCTAGAGGTGTTCCATAAGGGGAAAACCTTATACAGGTCTCATAAGAAGGTCTTTTAGAGTATGAGGTTATTTGAGAAGCTTGCTATAGAAGATAAATCTTCGATATACTATTTATAGACCGAAGATCTTCGCAGGGATTTCAATTTGCAGAATTTATTCCAGAGATCTCTCCGAAGAACCTATTGAGATTTTCTAAGAAGACCTTCAATAGGTTTTGACACTATATCTTATTTTTACCTTCTATATCGGGATGATTTTCAAAAAGTCTAAGTAGACAGAAGTTCTTTTAGAGATCACAATAATATAGAATACCTCTACAGAGATATTTTGTGTGTCGGAGACATTTTGAAGATCACACATGTGTCGAATAAAGTCTGGAAATATATATGTTAAACGTGATTGAAAATCTACTCAAAAAACAACTACGTTTTTCGATTGACAGAGAATTTGATATGTTGGCTTAAAGTCGGTATCGATTTAGCTGTAGCTTCCATATTAATATTTTTTCGTACCGTTTTATGTAAATGATGCCCCAAAGCATTGCATATTCTTCCAACGTGGCCTAGAATGACATTATTTTGCATATTAATGGTGCTACGTCCACCCGATTGGGACAACATTTTGCAAAGAGTGCCGAATGGAGTCTGAAATTACTATGTCAAGTTTGCTTCAAATTGATTTAGATATTTATTATTCAATTCCAAGGCACTTTTTAACCTAAATAACCAACAACACCGATTAAAAAATCCTATCTTAAATAAATATGTGGACCTTAATTTATAAAAAAACAAGCATTTTTCATGGAGAAAGGCTGTTTAGTTATGGCTATAACTTACCTTTAAGATTATCGGCATATTCGCCCAAATCAATGGAGCGTGCCCAACGTATGAAACGTTGATTGGTCCATACTATTGGATCGGTATCCACATTTTCCGATTGGACTCGGCGCATGGCCAAATTTTGACGATCATATTTTACAATGCGCAAGACATGAATACCTTAAAAGAAAACAACAACAACAAACCAAAAAAATATTAAATAAATTTCGTTACATTTTGAGACAATTTTCTACCCTTATCCTCCCTCCTCCTTACCATGCACAATACTGGCCTGATGAAATTTCCTTGTTACACCCAAAAACTTTTCCAACTCCTTTTTCGATAGGGTATCCAACATGCGGGCATCAACCAGGGAATGCAGGAACGATTCAGCATACTGGGGTAAACCAATATCGGGTAGCCATTCGGAGGCAACCCATGTATGACCCAATTGGGTTATCATTGGATAGCGTACCATTTCAGGGCGACGTTGTTCTTCAATGGCCAGTCGTAGTTTTTTACGATGCATTGGGTGGGCCAAACCTAAGCCAGCTTCTAACTCCATATCGTTAAGTTCCAATAGTACCTTACCGCTTTTAACATTTTCAGCACAACGTGAACTGTATTGAGGCATACCAAGTGCAACCTCCAACCATGCTAGGACCTGAGAGGCACGCCATCTTTCCATGGGTAGTTGGGAGGCTTCACGCAATAGGCGTAGCTTTTCTGCATAACCCTCTTCGGAGAGGGGACTCCAAGCGTAATCATTAACTGTAAATATTTTATTTTTCAATTATTTTGTTCAGTTTTAGTGTTCCTTTCTTCACTTACATTCATTGGCCCCATCTGAGGATAAAGCCTTGTTTTTATTCCTTGATCTGGCGAAGACCCTTGATATACTACCCCAAGTGCCACCACGACCATTGCGGGCACCCAATGTTGTACCCGAAGTTTTGGGAGGATATTTACGAGCCACCGCTCCTGGTCCCTCGGAATCAACTGGTGATCCTAATTGTTCCACCGATCTTTATGGGTGTGATGCCAAATTCGGAAATGTGAGATTAAAAAATTGAGAATAAGACATAAATCATTTTTATTTACCTGGAATATGCTGCCGAATTCAGGGGAGATAAAGTTGGACTTCTTTCTTTGGGTGTACCATCTGTGGGAGGAAATAAAAAAGGTAATGGATTAAATTTCCGACGCAAGGTTAAAAGAGCTATCTGAATTTTAAACAATTTAATATATTATAATCAACCAGTGAGCGGAGCAGGTTACTAATAATCAGTACAGCCCCTCTAATTACTTGTCCAGATTCCCTTCACCGTAGGTTGTGTTGTGATGTTCGGCTTTCGACTCGAAAAGTACAAATAATTAAGTTTCGGCCCACTTCAACATTTTAGGCGTTGTCGTTGCCCATAACTGGAACCTCATGGAACATTTCAAAGCGATCAGGCTATATATCTGCCCTAAAGTGTGATAATAGGTTACTAAATAATATATGAATACGTAAGCAACTGTAAATATTTAAGAGTAACTCCCGCATCCGAGTACCTACCACAATATGATTTGTATCAATTTAAAGGTCAAACACTCCTCTTGGATATACTATCAACTTCTCGGGTCTATGTCCTTCAGGACGCCATTGTTCACAAAAAACTCAGGGTCCATTTGACCCGCTAAATATTGACCGATCCTTATAAAAACAGGTATGTTTATTCTTTGGCCCGACCCCCTTCTCCATGTGAAAATTCGCGTAGTTCGGGCCATAATTGCGGCCTCTGGAGCGACCAGAAAATGGGACAAAAATAAAGTATTTGATCCATTTCATCCCCTAAATATTAACCGATCTTTATCAAAAACAATAGGGGTCTTCATTGGCCAGAACCCATCCTACATGCAAAATTTCGTGAAGATTGGTCCATAACTGTGGCCTGTATCGTGTTTACAAATTATAATGGACAGACGGACGGACACACATGTCTAGATCGACTCAGCTAGTCGAGATATGACGATCGGTATACATAAAGGTGGGTCTAGGACCAATATTTCGTGGCTTTACAAACTTTTGGGGCTGCACAAAGCTTTAATACCCTGACAACATAGTTGTGTAGGATATAAAATAAAAATAAAAAACTGACCAAATTTTTATAAAAAAAATTACAAAAAAAAAACTATCACTTACATTGATACATATTTTGACTAGACACTAGCGATATACTATCCGGATCGACGGTAATGCATGGTCCATTATCCGACACACCATCGCTGAAATTCATATCACCACCGGTACTTTCACGATCACTGTTATTACGCAAGGCGGAATCATTTGAACAGGAATTACGATCACCCGCAGTATTACCCGAACTATTACTGAACGCGGATAGGGAATTTGAATTACCACGCCCACTGTCATCGTTACGATATGTGGCCATATTGGAACCACCACTACCCGGACCTCCACTACTACCGGCACCACTATTCATTTGTGCATTCATTAGGCCCGATGTTGCTGAGGGTGGGGTGAGTGGGGCAAATGACAACAAACTCTCCTGATCGGACATACAACCTTGGCCAGCCATTTGCCTTTGCAGTTGTTCCTGCAACTTCTGCAACTGCATATCTCGGGCACTCAACTGCTGGGCCAAGGACAACGATCTTTCTGCCTCATCTCTGGCCTGTTTCAATAGCTGCCAACGTTCACGTTCACGATCACCCGACAGCTTGGCATTATTCGATTCGGATTCTCGTACCCGCTCTTGATAGTTACGTATGAAATCTCTCAGTTCTTGTTCTTTTTCTTGTAATGAGGCACATAACTGCTTCACCTGACCGACTAGTTCATTTTTATCACTTCGCAGTTTTTTCCTTTCGATGCGTAAATTCATTAATTGATTTTTAGCCGATCGTAATTCTTGTTCCAAACGATCGATACGTTGTTGGGTATTTGAACTACTGCCATCTGTTGATTGTCCATCGCCACAACTATTCGAATCGGAGAGATCAATACCGCCGACAGCACCCTCGGGAGAGGTTTCGAGTAGCTTTCGCAGTCTGTGGAGTTCGGCATTTAGTCGTTCGTTTTCCTCACGTAATTTTGTTGGGGAATCTGTAATGGAAGAAAATTCAGAGGGAATTTAAAATTAAAGTCTTAATTAGCAGTTTGATATATTTATTTTCTTCAATATTTGTAATCTATTTAATTTTTTATTATATGCACATAAAATATAAAATGAAAAATAAAAATTAAAATTCCATGCAAGGTATCAAAATGAGTTACAAATAAAAGAACAAGCTAGCCAATCCCTGGTGGAGAAGGTAATAAATTTGACCATCCCATCTATTTATATCTTTCCTCGTGATGAACAAAAAATAAAAATTCAGGAGGAAGGACTATATGTACATTAGTTAAAGATTCGTATATAACTGTGAGGACCTATGACCCCATATTGAAAATTGTCTTTAGAGAGTACATCTGACAAAATAACAATAACAAATCGGAAGGGAAAAATATCTTTGGTCCCACCGTTGGAAAATTCAGCCTTCATGAAGAAACATCCGACAACGACATGATTTTGATTGACTTCGCGGCAGCAAAAAACATGGTAGTTAGCAGCATCAGATTCAAGCATATCGATATACACGAAGCCACCTGGATTTCTCCTGATAAAGCAACGAGAAATCAAACTGATCATGTTGTGATAGACGGAAGGCATTCATGCAGCGTATTAGATGTTCGATCGATACAAGGAGCGGAGCACTACCATGCACCAGCTGCTTAGTATAATTCGGCTAGAGGAATGCATGCCCAATGATTGGAACCTCAGCAGCGTGAACAAAAAAGGAGACAAGACGATATGTGCCAACTATAGAGGAATAAGTCTCCTTCCCATCGCATATAAAGTGCTATCCAGCGTGCTGTGTGAACGACTGAAGCCAATGGTCAATGACGTTATTGGACTATACCAATGCGGCTTCAGACCTGGCAAATCCACACGTACCACCTATTCGGCGACTATAAAACAGCATTCGACAGTCCTATCCGTTCAGAGGTGTTTAAGGCAATTCCTGCAAAATTAATACGGCTATGCAGGACAACTTTAAGTGGCACAAGATCAGCAGTTAAAGTAGGAAAGGACCTACCGGAGCCCTTCAATACCGAACGAGGATTCAGACAAGGTGACAGTTTGTCGTGTGATGTTTTTTAATATCCTACTGGAAAAGTCCTACGAGACGCAAAGATGAACAGAAATGGTACTCTGCACACCAAACAACACAAGGTACTCGCCTACGCCGATGACAGCGATATAATGGGTCGAACATTGCGAGCGGTAACAGCCACCTTTGAACAAATTGAAAAGGAGTCTGCCACAGTGGGTCTGGCAGTAAACGGCGAGAAGACAAAAGCGCAAGGCTAGTCTTCTGTAGCTTCGAGGTAGTTAAAGACTTTATATACCTTGGTACCGCCATAAATAAAACGAATGACATCAGTTTTGAAATTCGGAGAAGTATGGTGATGGCCAACAGATGCTACTATGGTCTAAGTAAGCAGTTTAGAAACAAGGCCACTACCCGCCAAACTAAACTCATACTTTACATGATGCTGATACTACACGTGATGTTTTATGGATCTAAAGCATGGGTACATGCGCAAGCAGATGAGGCAGCTTTTGGGGTGTTTGAATGAAAAATTCTCCGAAAGATGTACGGGCCAATCAGCGTCAACGGTGAATATCGGCGTCGTATGAACTACGTGGTTTACAATTTATACGCGGACATGGACAAAGGCAGTTTCATGTTGTGCGACTGAATGAGAATGCCCCAGCTCAAAAGGCATATAAAACGAGCTTAGAAGGGAAAGGCCACGAATTAGATGGAAAGACCAAGTAGAAAACAACATCTTGGAACGTGGTCTTTCAAATTGAAGGAGATGCGCACAAGACCGACGGGCTTGAATATCTTTTTTAAGCTCGGCTTGTGGAACAACCGTTTTGTAACAAGCCAGCTAAGTAAGTACTCCAAACTCCCACAGTTTGTCCGATTGAGACGAAATTTCTCAACACTTTTATGTGGTTAGTTTCTTTGGAATCGGTTCAGATTTAGATATAGCTCACATATAAACAGGGTGGTGCATTTAGTGGTTTCAAAATATAAGAAAAGTATACATTTGTCAAACTAAGTTGATAAATCAATTTTTCCTTTAAGTTGAAGGTCTTATTTTGACAAAAAGGGTCGCTTAACTATTTCACAATGAATAAAAATGATCAGACCCTACTATAAAAACGTCGATGGTGTGGAGAATGTTTCGATTGCTCTTTGTTCTCAGTGAGACAGGCATCTGTCCCTGTGGGTATGTTAATAAATAAAATTGTCGTAATTGTGGTTCTGAGAATCCTCAATTAATAGAAAAATCATAAAATTCAGAAATAGTCAATGTTTGCTGTGCTTTGTGGTCCGAAGGCGTGATTGGGCCTACATTTTTCGAAAATGAAGATGTCACTGTCACCGTTAGTTCGGATCGTTGTGATAATATGATTACCGAATACTTTATTGCCTGCTGTTGAAGGATACGACATGGAGAATATATGGTTTCAACAAGACGGAGACACATAACTCGAACGAATATGGCTTTATTGTAAGAGACATTTCCTGGACGCTTAATTTCTCATCGTGGCGATATCAAGTGGCCACCGAGATCATGTGATTGACACCATTAAACTTGTTTAAAGGTCTACTAATAATCCTTCAGCTCTTAAGGACTTAGAAACATTCGTCAAGTTTACGGAGGTTTTCTGAATTACACAGAGGTTTCATAAAGTATATCTATATATATAAAAGAGCTTAGTGTTAAGTGAGTGAGTGACTGACTGACAGATCATCGCCCAGACGAAACGGCTAAAGCTAGAAGCTTGAAATTTTGAGTGTGGGTTGGTGTTGGTGTGTAGGCGTGAGATAAGGCTGGGTTTTTGGAAATTCGAACTAGAAGGGTACGAAAAGTACTTAAATGTACCAAATATGGTACCCTTTGTATTAGGCGAACGGGAAGAGCTAGAATTCTGAAATTTGGAATGTGGGTCACTGATGAAAAGTTGGGAAGATGTACAAAAGCGTTTTTGGAAATTCGTACTAGAACGGTACGAAAAGTACTAAAAAGTACTAAATGTGATACCATTTGTATTTGGCGAACCGGTAGAGCTAGAACTCTGAAATTTGGATTGGTGGTCGCTGAGTGTAGGATAGATGTACCAACGGGTTTTTGGAAATTCGAACTATAAATATCCGAAAAGTACTAAAATGTACTTAATTTTGTACAATTTCGTAGCATGTGAATTGATAGAGCTAAAAACTTGAAATTTGGAATGCGAATTAGGGATGAGATGTAGAGTCCATTTAAGGAGATGGTTTTGGAAGCGTGGACTCATGTGTACGAAAAGTACTATATGGTACTATATTTGGTACAAATTTAATTTGGAGCTGGAATCCTGAAATTTGAAATTAACATTACCGTCGGAGTGTAGGATTGGTAATGTACGTAGTTTTGGAATTTTTTTCAGTAATTTATATTCATGGGTACTAAATGGTACTAAATTTGGTACAATTTGAATTTTATGCGAACCAATAGAGCTAGAATCGTGAAATTTGGAGTCAGGATCACTGTTGGGGTGTAAGATCGAGATATGTAGGAAGTTTTAAAAATTTTTACTAATGTGTACTAAATTTGGTACAATTTGAATTGGAATCTTGGATTTAGGATTACTCTGGGGGTGAAAGTTTGGGTTAAGTGGGACGTTTTGGAAATTCGTACTACTGTGTACTAAATTTGGTACAATTTGAATTGTAAGTGAACCGAAAGAGTTGTAATCCTAAAACTTGGATTTAGGATCACTGTGGGGGTGTAGGATTGGGGTATTTAGGAAGTTTTGGAAATTGGTACTACTATGTACTAAATTTGGTACAATTTGAATTGTGGGTGAACCAATAGAGCTGGAATCCTGAAACTTTGTGTTAGGATCACTGTAGTTGTGTAGGATTGGGGTATGTAGGAAGTTTTGGAAATTCGTACTATTTATGTTAATGATTGAGCTATACCGAGAGACATATTTGGAAATTCGTATTTATGTGTACGAAAAGTACTAAACGGTACTAGATTTGGTACAATTTGGATTTGGGTGAACGGGGAGAGCTGGAAACCTTAAATTTGAAACAATGGTTGCTGTTAAAATATATAATTGAGATATGGAAGCATAGTACTAATGTGTTCTTAATGGTACTATATTTGGTACAACTTGATTATTTATGAACGGATAGAGCAGTGTACTAAATTTGGTACACATTGAATTGTGGATGAACCGATAGAGCTGGAATCCTGAAACTTGGATTTAGGATCACTGTGGGGGTGTAGGATTGGGGTATGTAGGAAGTTTTGGAAATTGGTACTACTATGTACTAAATTTGGTACAATTTGGATTGTGAGTGAACCGATAGCGTTGGAATTCTGAAACTTGGAATTAGGATCACTGTGGAGTGTAGGTTTAGGTTAAGTAGGAAGTTTTGGAAATTCGTACTACAGTGTACTAAATTTGGTACAAATTGAATTGTGGATGAACCGATAGAGTTGGAATTCTAAAACTTGGATTTAGGATAACTGTGGGTTTAGTAAGAAGTATTGGAAATTCGTACTACTCTGTACTAAATTTGGTACATTTAAATTTGAATTTGAAATCATTATGAGGGTGTAGGATCGGGGTATGCAGGAAGTTTTGTTGGAAGTAGAAGGGTACGAAAAGTACTAAAATGTACCAAATATGGTACCCTTTTTATTAGCGAACGTGAAGACCTAGAAATGGAATGTTGGTCACTAATGGAAAGTTAGAAATATGTGCAAAAGGGTTTTTGGAAATTCGACCTATAAGTGTACTAAAGGTACTAAACTTTACTGAATTTAGTTCAGGTTGGGAAGTGGTGTTGATGTACGGAAATGGTTTAAGACATTCGTACTTATGTGTATAAAAGTGTAAAATTGTACTAAATTCCGTACTAATTACTCTCAGTTGAGTGTGTAGAGATGGAATCGTGATAATCGGAATTAGCTTTAAAAAATAGTACTTA